GGCGGCGGAGGAATTCTTACTATGGTGCTGAGCTGCTATCAAACTCCTGGACTCAGGGAGTCCTCCTGCCTCATACTCCCAGTAGCTGGGACTCCAACTATGGCCACTGCTCCCGGAGATGCCCTTCACTGTGCAGCCCTCCCGACGCTTGCTCTTGGAGTCACTGTTGTTATCTGGAAGCGGTCCATCCCTGAGACTGCAAACTTCAAATTCTCCTCAGTGCCTGCGGATGCTGCCGCCTTGCGAGGCACCATTCTTCCGGATTTTGCACCCCCGCAGCCAGTCTCCGCCTAATACTCACAGCCACTACCTGCCTGACACGCTTTCCCTGTGGTATTTGTACCTCAGCTCCCGGGCCCCAGTCCTCTTCCTTTCTCTAGCCCTCCACATCGCTTGCTTCTGTATGCAGCAAGCGATCCACGTCGTGGCAGCTCTGCGTGAAGACACACCATGTGTGCCCCACTCTGTGTGCTCTGTGTTCCAACCCAGCTAGCCACGACGCCACAGAGCTCTTTGCTTTAGCCACAGCCCCTCAGCCTCCGTGGATCCCCTCCTCACTGTCAGGGAGAGAGCTCGCAGATGTGAAGGCCAGAGGGGAGGTTGGCAGTGGCCTCCCAGGGCCGACAAAGCCAGCTGCAGCCCTGAGCCTACCCCGCCATCACAGTCCCTGGCATGGGTTTTGCCACAGTGCAGCTTGAGGCCCCTCTCCTGCTCCTGGCTCCCTGCACACAGCTGAGGGACTGAGGCCTTTCTCCCTGGGGCTTCGGTAGGGCTCAAGGTCTCAGGATGAGGCAGGCAGCTAATAAGTAGGTGTTGATTGCCTGAGTGTGGATCTGTAATTAGACTTCACAGTGGAAGCAGTCACCAAGGGATGGAGTGGATGAGGGATTGGAGAGAGAGACCACACAGCCATGCAGATCATGGTGGCTGTGCAGGGTCACTTAGCAACAGCGGGCACCCGAAGGGAAAGGCACTAGGACTGTGGGGCACCTGTGCTCCCAGAAAGATATCTGATGGCAGGAAGACACAGGAGCCCCCTGGAACTGTGCTGTAGCATTGCTGGAGCT